AACGTTGCAAAGGCCAATGGAGCATATGAGAACATGTGGAGCAGATTTATCTGAAGAAGTCTGAAGCACATGTGGCAAAACTGCCTATGTCACAGGCCAGCTGGATGACCTACTTCATGTGTATGCAAGCCTTGATCATTCTGACAGCTGCCAGCTGCCTTTCCTTTTTAAGTTTGGGAAATTAATATCGGCTAATTAAGGAAACTCCAAAAGCATGCAAAGCCCGAGGAGATTCTCCTTATAATTACCAGCCGTAGCCGCAAAAAGGAGGCAAGGGAGAAGAAAGAATAGCTTTACCTTAGGCGTGAGCAAGCAGCTGTAGTGATTTCCCTCCGTCTACCCCCAGTCTTCCTTGGTGTCCTCCATAACCAGACGATAGCAGAGCGGTGATCAGGCCTCGAGAGAGGGTGATCACCAAGGCAGGCGTGGTGCTGATCAGGATTGTCGCGATAGAGCCTCAGTTTTGGGAGTCGTTCTTTCTTCGTTCTTAAACTCTTATTTCATTTTGGGTTGTATTAAACGGTTTAATCTTGGATGATCTTTGATAACACCATGAATTCTTTACTTGGTGTTAAACTTTGTTTGCCTAAACAATATTTTTATGTTTATGAATGATGAATTATGTTTGCTTATGATTGTTTTGCTCATAGTTTAAATATTTTTCCTTAACACTATAATAGCATCGAGAGATCGCCTGGGGATTCGGTAAAACATGTCTGGCATTGCATCGAGAGATAGCCTTTTGTCTAGAAAGTGATTCTTGAATTCAATAGAATTAAGAGAGATCAACGTGAGCAAAGGAATGAATCTGGGATGGTGAAGTTCTAACTTGCCTACCTTAGAGATAAGGAGTGAGTTTCAAACTAAAAGAGATAAAGGCTAGAGTAGGTTAAGACAACATCTATAGTTAATGTCGAGAGGTATTGCCATAGAAACCATCTAAGAATACCTAGTAATCTTGTCAGGCAGTTTAGTGAGTCATAATAATTCACTCTGAGCTTAAAATAATTGTTGCCGAGACAATAGTTTAGCATCAGTTCTCTGTGACACGTCTGAATATGTGAGGTTGTTTGCATTATATTTAATCCAATACTTGTTTTGTTTTATCTGTCTGTATATTTTCTTTGTCTCGACCACACTTGTCTGCAATCATTGAATCATTATTCTTAGCTCCTTAATATTAATTTTTAGCTTTAATACTCAGTAGGATTAATTTGTGGCATTATTTCTAGTTGTGGTGGAAAGATATTTCTAATCCAATCCCTGTGGAGACGAAACTCACTCACTACTATATTACTTGCATCGATTGTGTATACTTGCACAGATTAGCTTGCCTTAGCATATACATTCACAAGCGATCATTACCTAAAATACCACGTCCTCTTCAAGGGATTGAAGCTAACTCTTTCAAAGTTAATCTGCAAGAGAGGTGATGTGATTGTGGTTTCTTTCAAGCACTCAAATATTCATGCTCTCATGTCACAACAGCTTTCTCACATTCTCATTTGGACTACTAAAGTTATGTTGATCCCGTATACCAACTTTCACAAATATTCAAGGTATATGAATTTGATTTCCCCCCATAGGTAACGAAAAAGACCCAGATGAGATTCAAACTTGACTTACAATTGTACCAGATCTGTTGCTATTAAAGGACTTAGGTTGTCCAAAATCCACTCAAATTCATTGTGATATGGATATTCAGGAGAGGTCAACAGAATAAAAAAGATGTGGGCATTCCAGAAACATCGGCCACAATAGGGAAAAATATTCAGCTCTTTATCATCACTTAACCATTAACCCTTACTTATATAATTGCATTTTTTATTTCAATGTATGTCTTTGTTTCTAATATTTCAATCTAATTGCATTTTCTACAATTTTCCAATGCATGTGTATTTTCTACATAAATTTCCCACTTACCTCTTACTTCAATTGATTAACATTTTCATTTTAATCAAACCTTACCCTAAACCAATTTGACCTACACAACCCTTGATCACTCTCACCTTAAAAACCCTAAACCACTTTAACTTACAAAATCCTTCACCACTTTCACCTTAATGAACCCTATACCACTTTAACCTAAAATCTCTCCAACTTAAATAAAAAATAAAAAATACCTTCAACATTCTTAAATCATAACTAAAACCCTTTACCTAAAAAATTATAAAATTCTAATAACCCTAAACCACTATCATATTCAACCCTAAACTAGAACCCTAATTCAAAACCTGATGAAAAGTGTGTTCCCCCAAAAGAGCTTTCGAAAGGTACGTCCCCTGAAATGCTCTTTCCACCAGCTGGAAGGAGCTTCCCCTGAAACGCACCTTACCTCCATATCAGTAAATATCATTAAAGCGGGCTCCCAGGAACGCGTCTTAACTCCACATCAGCCGAATGGGTGTTACTTTGGGAAATATTGGAAAACGGTGTTACATCGAGAATATTAGAAAAATAGGGTGATAGTTAGGTCGAAAAGCCCATTTTCATGCACCTGGTGACCTTTTTCTTGATGGGATTGGTCTTTCTTTGCCAGGTGAACATGATTCTGCTTCGTCTTTTTCTCTTAATCGTGATGTGTGCCCTATGGATTATTTTTTACCCGAGGGTATTTTATGTGTGATTCATCTATGGTTATTGATGCTACGCTCGTTTATATGGTTGGTTTATGCTCTGGTTGTCAAAACACACATCCCATGATCACTAGGGTTAAAGCAAGCATTCAAAAACCTAGGCTTTTTCATGTGTGCCCTGATGAGGAACCTAGAAATATAAAAGATGTCATGTTGACTCCTCACTGGAAGAGAGCGACTCAAGAAGAGTATGATACTTTAATGGCTAACAAAACTTGGAGTCTTGTTTCTCTTCCTGAGAATTGCATGGTTGTTAACTGTAAATGGATCTTCAAGGTCAAGAGGAATGTTGATGGGTTTGTGTCTCGGTATAAGGTTTGTCTTGCTGCAAAAGGGTTTCTTCAACAATCGGGTATTGATTTTGCTGAAGTTTTTAGTTCAGTTGTGAAACCGACTACTGTTCGAGTGATTCTTTGTCTTGCTTTGACAAAAGGGTGGTTGTTGTGTCAAGTGGACATTAACAATGCATTTTTTAATGATGTTTTGTCTGAGAAAGTTTATATGACTCATCCATATGGGTTTGTTCAAGGTGATTGCAACTTGGTTTGCATTGCACACTGAAAAAAGTCATTTATGGTCTGAAGCAAGCTCCTCAGGCTTGATGATAGTCTCATAGAGTATCTTGTCTCCAAACACTTTGTTTTGGAAAAATCTGACTCTTCTCTTTTTGTTCAAAAATCTTAGGGTAGTGTTGTCTACATGTTGGTATATGTTGATGACATTATTCTTATCGGGAGTGATGCATGTGAAGTTCAAAGTATGGTTATTGAAAGAGAAATTTTCTTTGAAGGATCTTGGCCCTCATAATTTTTTCTTAGGTATTGAGGTATGTCACAATTCTGATGGTTTGGTGTTAAGTTAACAGAAATACATTCATGAACTATTGTAAAAGCATTGTTTTGGCGATATACAAAGAGTTTTCCCACGCCTATGGTTTCAAACTGTAAGTTGGCTGCTGATGTTGGGGTGCCTATTGAGAATGATGCTCAGTATAAGAGTATCGTTGGTACATTGCAGTATATTATGGTTACTCGGCCTGACATTACCTTTTCTATTAATCGGGTATGTCAGTTCATGTAGTCTCCTCATGATGTGTATTTTTAGGTTGTGAAAAGGATCTTGTGCTATCTCCAAGGTACTGTTGATTATGGTTTACGATTCACTACTTCTTTCCGAATGTCTTTAACTGGCTTTACTAATGCCAATTGGGGGTCTGATGTGGATGATAGGCATTCCACTTCGGGTTATTGCATATTTTTTGGATTAATCTTGTTTCGTGGAGTTCTTGCAAGCAGCAGGTTGTTGCCCGATCTACTACAGAGGCGAAGTGTCAGAGTGTTTCCTCTGTTGTTGCTGATATTGTGTGGATTGAGTCCTTACTTAAAGAGTTGCATGTGGTGCCTCATGGTCGTTCTACTTTGTGGTGCAACAATTCTAATGTTGTTGCAGTCTGTGCACATCCAGTTCTTCATTCTAAGTTCAAGCATGTTGAGATTGATTTTTTTTTGTTCGAGAAATGGTTGCGGCTAGGCGTTTACAAGTTTATGAAGTTCCTACTTATGAACAGGTTGTGGGTGTTCTGACTAAATCGTTGTCTTCTCCTTCATTTTTTAAGCATAGACAAAAATTGCTGGTCAGTCAGCTTCGACCTCGACAAGTTGTTTTGAACAAGTGTAGTAGCAAGGGGAATGTTGGTGCACTAAGGAAGCCGAAGGCTTAGAAGTACGGTGAATGTTAGTATTATGTACACGTGGTTATTGCATGTGTGTGTTGCGTGACTACTAGGGTTTTTTTTGTTACCATGCAGTTATGCTTTATATTATGCATGAAGTTATATTTCCCTTCTTTACTTCATGTATAAACAATTCGTCTTTAGGTTTAGAGATTTTATAGCTTTCTAAATAAAGCTTCAGAGAGTACTGCCTTTGTTTCTTCCATTATTTCATATTAGATAGCTTTAGTGGTATCTTATCAATATCGAGCATAAATGCAGCGGAAAAGGTTTGTTTATAAATACTTTCCACCATTACTAATACCGTATGTCGAAATCCGGGATGTGGTTACAACACCATCAAACCACGGTTGATCACCATAAACCACTTTCGAACACTTCAAATTTGGCTGCACAAAACTCCAGCCGTCAAAGATCTTCTAAACACTCAAGACCTCACTAGATGAAATAAATTTCTCTCTTAAAGGTGGAAATACTTTAAATGTTTTTGGTTCATAGGGACCTTGACTATGTCTCATATTTATAGTGTTTTTTTCCATCAAAAAACCACTTAAAACTATTCATGCCATCGAACGTGGGATCACTAAAATGTGGGATAACCCGCACTTACCACCTTGCATACAGTTAACGAAATGGGAGTCAGTAACCCACTAATGAAGCAACATGCAGTTTCAACAGACCAGTCATCAGGAAAGTCTAGTGTTCTTGAATCCTTGGCAAAATAGTTCCAGCGGAGGAATTCCAGATTGTAACAGCCATAAATATCGCAACTGATGAGGTTGCAGGCCGTGGTAAGAGCATATACAACACCTCGATAACTTTAGTGGTGAAGAAGCATGGGATTCCTGATCTTACCATGATTGATCTTCCTGGACTCTTGAGAGTGCCTGTCCATGGTCAGCCTGAAAATATACATGAGCAGGTCATAGACATCATCATCCAGTACAGAACACCTAAGGAAAACATTATCCTTAATTTTTTTGTCAGCCACCGACGATTTTTCAACTTGTGAATCCATTAGGATGTCGCAGCAAGTGGACAAGACTGGTGAGAGCACACTCGCTGTGGTTACCAAGGCCGATAAGGAACCCGAAGAGCTTCTCGAGAAGGTTACTGCAAATGATGTGAATATAGGATTCGGTTATGTTTGTGTTCGAAATCATGTTGGTGATGCTTCCCAAGAAGAAGCAAGGAAGGAAGAGGCCGGATTGTTCGAAACTAATACACATTTATCAAGCATTGATAAATCAATGGTGGGTGTTCCAGTGTTAGCCCAAAAGCTTGTTCAAATTCAGGCTAACATCATTGTAAAGTGCTTACCAGAGATTGTGAAAAAAATAGAGCAAAGCTGAAGGCAAATGTTTCAGAGCTAGAGAAAATGCCCGAGGCTTTGAGTTCTATTGCCGAGGCCACGCAAACTCTTATGAGGATCATTGGAGCAGCTAAAGAATCCCTCAAGAAGTTTCTCTGGAGAAGGGAATTTGATGAATTCCCTTATGACAATACAAAGCACGGAACTGCTCGGTTTGTCGAAATGCTCAACAAGTTTTCCGATGACCTTCACAACTGCAAGGAAAGTAATCTTGCAAAAGACTTTTTAGCAGAAGAGATCAAGGTTTTGGAAGATTTTAGAGGAATCAAAGTATCAAATTACCTTCCTTCCTTCGCTGCAAAGCATTGCTCCGTATCCTAAAAAGAAAAATCGAGAGGATATTGCATCTGCCAAACGAATTCACGGAAAATGCTTGGGATTACATAGATGATGTTGTGATGTCAGTTTTTACGTGACACTCAGAAATGTATTACCTCTTCAAGGTATCCACCAAACGAGCTGCTCACAAACTTGTTCAAAAGATGAGGGAGCAATCAATCAACAGAGTGAAGGAGATTGTAGAAATGGAAAGGCTGACAGTTTATACTTGTAACCCTGATTACAAGACGGAGTGGACGAAGCTCATGAGCCAACAAGACTACTTCATAAGTCCAGTAAATACCGGACCAAACACGAGGCAGATGCCTTTCTCGATGGTTCTTCAAGGCATTGGGGAAATTGAAATTGAACATCTGAGACAGCATAAGAATGTTTTGCTTCTGCAGCAAGCTTTTGACCTAAAGATGAGAATGTGTACTTACTGGAAGATATTTGAGGTGAGATAGGTTGATTCAATAGCATTGCATTTACAGTAAAGTGTTCATAATCTTGTGAACAATGAAATGGAGGAGATTTTGAAGTAGTTGATGGAAGCAGATGGGCATGGAATTGAGAGGATGACAATGCAATCCCCTGTAATGGCTGCAAAGCGTACGAAGCTCAAAACGAGCATCGAGCTGTTAAAGGAGTCCAAAGATAATGTGGACAAGATCATGGACAGGAAAGTTTTTTCTTTTCTTTTTTTTCACTTCAAATTTATGTCTTAATGCTTTGCTTTATAGAGTGCTTTTAAGTTTTTGTCTGTTTCATATGTGACAATGTTTTACAGAAATAATACAATGGACTAATTAATCCTTTAAATGTTAAACTCTTTATATTGATTTGGAACACTGAATAATACAATGTTAAGCTCAGTTTTCTGAGAGACAATGAAGTTTGTCTATCTCGCAACAAATAAACTTGTATCCTGCTCTTTCTCTTTAGTCCAACTATATCCAGGATCTTTAACAATCTGTTTGTCACTGATCATCTCTCTAATGGCCCTTACATCGTCCCATCTTCCTAAAGAAGAACAGATATTGACTAGAAGCACATACGGTGTGGAACTCTCAGGGTCGAGCCGGAAGAGTGCCTCTGCTGCTCGTTGATCTAAGCGGACATTTCCATGGACTCTACAGCAACCAGATCAGCTTTATATGGCATCTGCACCATAAGGAGCTCTACGTCATGAAAATGACCTGCTTGACCAAGACAGTCGATGATGCAAGTCCCATGCTCAATCTGCATTGAGTTGAAAATTCTGAACCCCTGATCTACTAATCCTGAGTGACTACATGCAGTCAACAGAAATAAATGTTATGCGATCAGGTTTTACACCTGATGCAATAATGTCTTCATATAGACGAGCAGCATCATCTCCACGTCCATTCTCAGCATATCCGTGTATCATCTCATTCCATGTAACAACGTTTCTTACAGGCATCATATCGAAATGCTTCTGTGCCTCATCTATGTCACCACATTTACAATACATATCAACAAGAGCAGTGCCCACAAACACATCACTCTCGTAGCCGTCTTTCACTACCTGAGAGTGGATCTGTCTGCCTTGAAATGAAGAAGATAGTTTTGTGCAACAGCTCAATACTGTTGCATAACAGAACTCGGTAGGCGACATTCTACCACGTAGTATTTGCTTAAAGAGCATGAAAACTTCTTTGTATAGTTAAGAGTAAGACCTGCAATCATAGAATTCCAACAGACAATATCTAGCTCCGGCAGAGAAGAAAATATGTGCCCTACCATTTCTGTCCTCCCACACTTTGAGTACATGCCAATCAGTCCACTAGCAACATAATTTTCGGTATGAAGAGCTGCCTTTTGCAGCGCAGCATGGACCTGTTTTAGGATGACGGTCACAGTAGTCCGATCAGGTTTTACAGTTTGAAACTGCATTTCCCTGAAAAGATCTATTGCTTCTTTGTGATTCTCATTCTGGGAATAGCCAGAGATTATAGCATTCCATGAAATAACACTCGGGCACGACATGTTATCAAACATCTGACGTGCAGTTTCGACATCTCCACACTTTACGCATGCTGTGAGCATATTAATATAAGTAACCTCACCAGGTTCAAAACCACAAAACTGCATCCTTTCGAAACACTATAGCTTTCCCACCATTTCCTTTCGGGCCATATCCAGCAATCATAATATTCCAGGAAACAACACTGACTTTTCCCAAATTATGAAACACTATCTCAGCATTGTTCATAGTCCCATTCTTAGCATACATATCAAGCAACGAATTACTAAAACAAAGATCATTTTCAAATCCAAGCTTAATTGAAAGACCATGTACTTGCTCCCCAAGTTCAACATTACATGATAATCTATCACTATCTTCATAGCAATCTGATTCACCATACTCTCCCCCTTTGCAAAAACAGTCAAAACAGCAGAGAAGGAAACAGAATCAATCCGAACCCCTTTTCTACACATCATTCTAACATCTCCAAAGCCTCAAAGACCCCGTCAATACTTCCTAACCCACCCATCATTGAAGTAAAAGAAACTTCATTAGGGTCATCAATATCCGAAAAAATTTGAACAGAATCTCTCATAACCCCACATTTAGCATAAACAGACAATAATCCTTTACAGACAAATATATTCTTATCAAGATCGATCTTAATAACATGACCGTAGCATATCTTCCCAAGCTGCAAATCCAAAACGTTTCCACAACTACTTAAAACGCTAGTAAAGGTGACATGGGTAGGCAAAAAACCTTCCGAAACCATAAGCTAAAAAATATCCCACGCTTTGTCCTGGTACCCATTTTCTAACATTAAACTAACCAAGTTGTTCCTGGAGACAACGTTTCTTTCAGGGATTTAAGTTCCCATCTTTGCAATGGAAGCTCAAAATGGCATTCAATGAATAAATGTCCTTGCGATGGGTATGGAACGTGCAATCCGCAGAGGACGGGTCGTTGCATTTGGAATAGAGTTTGACGAGACAATTGCATAGGAAAGTGTTGGTTAAAAGGTTGTTGCGGAGAAAATGAGCATGGAGCACTTTGCTTAGCAGAAAAGATTTGTTGTCTATGCAAGTTTGCAGAAGGTTAGCAATGTCATTCATCTTGCATTTGCTCCCCATTTTTATGTACTGCTTGCGGAATACACAAAATAAATGCTTCTTCTCTCAAGCCCTGCCCAGTAACAAATAAACTCCTACAACTACTATACAATAGCTTAATGACTTGCCCTTTACAAAACGGAACAACTGCAAGGTCCCATTGACATGAAACAAAAGGGTTCAACAAAAACGGCAAGCTCTTTAAGTTCAGTCATCCATGGCGGTTTCTCTGCTTCACCAAGGTCATAATTTACCAGTGCCGAGCACGAGCGTGATATATGAATGCGGTTAACTTAGTTGATCAACCTGAAAAGTCGAGAGAGATTTTGTTTACATCTACTTCCACATGATAACAATTATGTTACAAATGCAGAAGCAGTGAAGAGTACCATTCACTTGTGTTTAAGCTCTTGAATCCTCCAGAGTAGTATTGTTCACCATCATCCGACGTCTCATACAACTCGAAATCTTCATAGAACTGTAAATTCCATGAATAAGAGATGATTAAAAAACGGATGTAAATTTATCCATAGTTGCTATGTTTTATGTGTCCCAAACATGTATGCAAACCTGATCAAATTTCCCAACCGTTGCGGAATCAGCCTCATCATCCACCTAAAAGAAACTCATTGCTAAAATGCTTAATAACTTCGAATAAGAAAGAATAGATGCAAAGCTTTGTTCTATTTTGAAGTTTGGACAATCGATATGCTAACTTTCAAGTTCAAGAAGGGAAGCAAATAAGCTCAAACACGGCAAAATATACAAAACCCATCAGGGAGGAAGATTTAGAGAAGCTAATTATCACGCCAAATCACAGCTAATCATATATTGGTTATAGTAGAAAACATTAAGATCGAGAAACAGTTATGCTAACGATAATCATGTGAAGATGATAGGATCGTGCGTTCAAAATCATATTTCTTTAGAATCATCAGCTGATAACACAGAAAACAGAATCCATAAACTTCAGGTTTAAGAATCTACACAAGTTTTATGATTAAACATTCAAAATGTATCCACATTGTTATGAAAAGCAGAATAATTGATATCATCAATCATGCCCAAAATGCGTTTAGGTTACTCTAGACATAGTTTAGATCAATTTAACACACATAAAGTCTGAACACCATTCACCTTTATAATATTTTTCTCCTCTGCAACCACATCCTTCATGTAGGCTGAGTTCACCTTTTCAGCTTGAGTAACATATGTTTTTCTCTCCTACAAAGAAAGATAAGAAGCAATACTAGATACGAAATACCAACAGAAAACTTGCAATGGAGAGTAATGACAACTCGGGATGACCATTACCTCCTCACATATGTTTTTTCCAAGTTTCAAACCCCTTCCGGTCAATATCAATGAAATTTCCGTTCTTGTTGGTTTCCATAAAGGTTTCCCTAAGTAACACATCAAACGAAAATAATTCATTTTAGCTTGTACAATCAATCAACTCAAGATCAGTCATAAAGTTGCAGTTTAATACCATTTTTCCATTTCCTCAACCACCAAGATCTGGTTAACAGGTTGAATGTAAAATCAGGTCATAAATAACCATAGGGACATACAAATAAACAAAGCTCCTAGGTATTTGACAAAGTAAATGTTTCTCCTAAAATTAAAGAGATGGACTGAAATCCAGGCTTCCAACAAAGTAGTGTCCTCTATCAAAAGAATAATAATAATAATAAATGCAAACAAAAAGTAGCCAAATTTGACAGAATATTCAGTAGATGCTACAAACACAACTATAGAGCAGACGACTATAAGAAATTCTCTATAAATTTGAGGTTTTAAGATTAGAATCCCCACTAGCATCATTAAGATTTCTCAAATATACCAAAACCAAAACAACTTCAAAAAATGTAAATAAATGGATAATATTGAAGAATGAAAAGTAAAGTGAGGCATCAGAAGTGAGAAATTTACAAGAAAATATTAAAAGCCGATCTGGGTTGCAAAGAAATTATTGGTTTGACAGCATTTTGAGTTCCAGCAGTGCCCTTAAACTTCTTCAACTCTTTCTTCTTAGGCCCACAGTCGTGCATATCAGCCAAAGCAATCGCCACCATTTCACCGCAAATATCACTCCGACATATAAAAAAAAGTGATAATATCAAACACCCAAACCTCCAAATCAACCCAAAAGATGAAGCATAGAAAAAACCAATGATAATTTAGCAATGACCATCCCTCCGAAAGAAAGGTATTGTATTAGTTTTTAGGTGTATATATATATATATATTACCACTTCTGAAAGGTACTACCATCAGGTGAACGGTGTTGCGTGGACTCGTTTGCGGGCTCTTGGGCGATTCACCATTGAAGTTCCACTTCAAAATTCTGCAACTTTCTCCAGGTTTTTTTTAATATAAATAAATGTGTTAAATAGTAAGCGAACTCTGGTCACTTCATTCTGGTAGTGGAAGGACATTGGGTTCGTGGGTCTTTGCTAACATACGCCCAATTTGCAATATGCTAAAAATATTTTTGCTTCGGTCCTTAGGATATCATTGCAATTACACTGTAGATTTTTATATGTTTAACAATGAACTCCTCTTAAGTTTTAATTTCACTGCCTTATTAAATCATGACATTAACTTTTTAATTATTATTGATGTAGAATCATGGAATGCATTGATGAGCGTGTTATTGAAGACGTGAATCTTTTGTTAATTCGGGATTTTACAATGGAAGATGTAACTGCTGCTGTCAGACCTATGAGCCCCCTCTAAAGGCGTTTGGAGAGCATGGTCTCCTTTTCTATCAACGGTTTTGGCATCTGATTGGTCCAGATGTATCGAGGTTTTGTATTGATCTTATTCATGGCCGAGAGGATACGATGCGGATAAATCACACTCATATACTGCTTATAACGAAAGTTAACAGCCCAAGCAAGTTGAGCCAGTTTCGGCCGATAAGTTATGTACTCTTCAAAAAAAATTCGAAAATGTTAGTCAATTGGATGCAAAGTATTCTGGATGTTTGCATCAACGAGGCACAAAGCGCGTTTGTTCTGGGTCGCTTGATAATAGACAACACAATAATTGCTTATATGCTCTTACATTCTTTTATGAAGAAGCGGGAGGGTCGTAAGGATTACTTCGCCCTAAAGCAGGATATGAGAAAAACCTATGATAGTGTTGAATGACACTTTATTTGGGTTGTTATGGAGCGATTGAGATTCGATTCCCATTGGATTGATATGTTGAAACGATGAATTTGTTCGGTCACCTACTCGGTGGTTATTAATGGGGTAAAAATCAACTGCTATGCACCAGTGATCTCACATCTTTTCTTTGTAGATGATAGTATAATTTTTGGGGAGGCAACAGGTCGGGTTGCTTCACAAATTAAAGAAGTCCTACAAATCTATGGTTATAGTTTGGGCCAAGTGATAAATTTTGACAGGTCGGGTATCTTTTTCAGCTCAAACGTCACTTGACAATAGATATGATGTACGTAAGATTTTGGAAGTCTCAAAATCTTCAAATCCGAAGAAGTATCTGGTTCTTCTAGCAATTGTGAGGCGGAAAAAAAAAGGTGCTTTTGCCTATTTTAAGGACAAGTTTCGCAGACAGATTAAAGGATGGTGTGTGCGTACCCTGTCTCAAGTTAAGGAGGTCTTCATAAAGGTTGTCCTTCAAGCTGTTCTGTTGTTTGTCATGAGCTGATTTTTACTGCCGAAGAGTCTGTGTAACGAGCTAGAGAGCCTCATGGCTCAATTTTGGTGGCAGAAGTCAGAACAAAAACGAGGCATCCACTGGTGTCCATGGAGTAATCTATGTCGATTAAAGGACAATGGAGGGCCAGGCTTTAGAGACTTGGAAAAATTCAACGTTCCCCTCCTAAAAAAGCCAGACTGGTGTTTGTTTCAAAATCCATCATCGGTGGTGAGTAAATTGCTTCGCACGAAGTATTTCCGCATGACTGATTTTCTGAATTCGAGGCTTGGTTCATCCCCTTCATTCATATGTCACAGTATGGGGAGTGCAAGAGGTCTGCTTGAGAAGAGGTTAAGATGGAAGGTGAGGACGGACACCTCCATTTCAATATGGAACGACTTTTGGTTACGGAACGAGTTCCCTTGATGCATTGAATCCATTCGTAATAATGCAGTTACACGATTATCGGATTTAATCGACATTACCATGATGTCATGGAAAGTTGAGCTTATTAATAATTTATTTTGAGAAGAGGAAGTGAAGCAAATCTTAAGTATGCCGATTCCCAGGTTTTCCCAAGGGGATTGTCAAGTTCGGTGTGGCGAGAAGTCTGGGGTGTTCAGCGTGCGTAGTGGTTATCTGCTACTATTCGGTGAGGTTAGTGTTTCTCAATCTGTAAAAGTCACATGTAACTATGTTTGGATAGTGCATGTTAAAGAAAAATCAAGTTACAAATATAGAAATTCCTTCAGAACTATATCCCAACAATGCAAAAATTATTCACTAAACGGTTGGCCCTTAATCCCCTGTGCGAGAGATGCAATGGTGTAGTTGAAACATGGCTACATATTGCTCGCAATTGTCCGCTTGCCACTTTAGTTTGGTCTGAATTGGGTTATGAATGGTCGATACAAGTACTTTCAGTGGATTTATTCCAGTGGTTCCAATGGCTACTACGAAATAACTTAAAAAATAAGCATGCAGAAATAATGGCGAATATGTGGGCTTTGTGGTTTGCCCGAAACAAGCACTATCATCAAGGATCTTTGATAAGGAAAGAAGAGCTACTTACCCTCGTCTGGGATCAATGTTTGGACTATGCTAACGCCAATTCGAGATTGACAGGACCACAACCACCATTGCTTGTCCACTGGAAACCACCCATTTCACCGGTTGTTAAGGTGAACTTCGACTCCCGGTTCCTGCAGTCCTAGTCCGAAGCTTGGTCTGGAGTGAGTGGTCATCAGAGACAGTGAGGGTTTCATCCTAGATGCATGTAGAAGATTGAGTCGAAACATTACCTCAACTTTTATGGCAGAGGCTATAGCGACAGTAAATGCGGTACAGTTCACCCTTCATCTAGGTGTCCATGATGTGATCATGGAAGGGGACTCACGTACAGTGGTCGAAAAACTTACTTCGAGGGAGCCGTATTTGTCAGAGATAAGTGCTTTCACCTGGGAAGCACGACGGCGAGTGGAATCACTGCATGCATGTAGCTTCAACTTCACTCCAAGATATGGGAACTGGACGGCTCATCTTCTCGCCTCGGCTACTGATCTCGATGCCACCGATCATTTTTGGATCGAAGAAGCTCCTAGCTGCATGGAAGTTCAAGCGGCAGAGGACGTAAGGTGGATCGACCCCTCGCAGATTGATTCCTTGGGAATATCTCTCTTTGGCTCAAATGAACTAGTCTTTGAGTTTCATCTTCCTTGCTTTCTCTGAGTCTCTGTTTTGAAAATTGGATCGGATCGGTCGGTTCAACCGGAAACCGTTGTTTAGTTCGGTTCAATCTAAACCGGTTGAACCGTTATTAGTGAACCGGCCAGAACCGTTGAACCGTTCGTACTGGACCGGCTAAAAACCGGAAAAACCGGGAAAAACCGGGATTTTTGTTTTTTTTTTAAAAAAAAATTAAACCAAACAATGTCGTTTGTTAAACGAGCCAAGTCGAACTCGAGTATTGCTGAGCTCGACTCGAACTTGAAAACTTTAAAAGTAAGCTCAACTCAACTCAAACTCACAAGCTAAAAATTATCAAGTTTAACTCAAACTCAAAATATAATATTGAAACTTGAACTCAAAAAGGCTTGAACTAAAAAAAAATTAGAAGCTCGATTGAATCCTAAAATTCGAGCTTGATTGAAGTGAAAGAATAGTTCACTCAATGCTCACCGAAAGGCTCCATGATTTTGAATGTCAAATTACCTCTATTATTTATAGAAGTTAGTTGTGATGCGCTTCTATGTTTCTTAGCAATGTGAGATTGTTTTGTTCTCATATTTTCTCTTTAGACTTTTGGGATGATCTTCTATGTTTCTTAACCATGTGGGATTGTTTTTTAAAAAAAATTAAACCAAACAATATCATTTTGTTATGATTTTTTTAACCACAAATTTATTTTTTAATTATAGTTATATAATTATATTTATTATTTAATATGTTTTACCTTAAATATTATGTTGTAGTTAATTTGAATCATTTTGTTTCACTTGATTTTATGGTTTTTAACTTATATATGTTATGACTTGCTTTGAATATGACTTGTGATATAAAAAATTATTTTTTATTAAATATTTTTGATATTTTTATTTAATTTTTTTAAATAATTATGACATCGTCCGGTTCTTCCGATCGGTCGAATCGGTTCGACCGATTAAATCAATGAACTGATAGCATGACCGATTCGCTAACCGATCTGGTTCTGAAAACCATGGTCTGAGTCATAAGAAAGGAAAGGCTAGCACTAGTTTTGTTTCTTTTTATTTTCAGTGGGTTTTTGCTTTAGGTTTATTTAGCTTCCAAGTGTTTATGTTCTTTCATTTATTTAGTAAGCGTATATGGACGGTTTAGTTAGAACATTTTTTAATTCAATAAAAGGCTGGCATTTCAATTAAAAAAATGAAAACCCCCTCAAAATACATTATAAATCCGCATAAACAGATACGTAAGCCCATGAAATTGACGTCTAGTTGGAAATATTGTCAACAATCTTCCGTCTAGATAAAATTTAACTTGAGACATTCATTTTGCGTTTTCATAGATTTTTTTAAATAAAAAAATAATTTTATTAAGAAATAAAAATATCTAACATTAAAGGAAGATTTACAATTAGAATCCTAAACAAAACGCATAATTAGGATTTTCTCCTATAACAGTTAACACAAAAAAACTTGCCACTTAATATCATATAATGACCAAACAAGGAAAACATGAAAAACTCATCCAAAAAACTTGAACAATAGGTAGATACGGAAATATCTTACTATTATGAAAAACGAACCATGATAAGGGATTAAAGTATTGAAAGATTACCGACAAAACGCAAACCATAGCCAAGTATCTTGAGGAAACTATCTACGAACGCATATTACTTATCCAAATCTAATTTGAGAGTCCAAAAT